CACAGATTGGTTCATTTATTGTGACAAATGTTTCATGGGTGTGACGTGTATGGATCCTATCTGTACTATCTTTTCAGTTTTTCTGTAAATCTAAAACTATTCTAAAAAAGTTTAATAAAAAATTTTATGAACACACAACTACCTTTTACTCTCTTACTTTCATGATAAACTTATTTTAAAAATCAACTACCTTAATATTAAAAAGCATGCTTTCTAGTCCATGGCAGTGTCAATGTTTGCTACTGGCTGTCTTTTTTAACTTGGGTTTTAGCTCTAACTCCTACATATTTACTTGGCAAATTAACCAATAAACTCTTCCTATGCTTGGGGATGTTTATTTCCTGTGGAATTTAAATTTCCAAATGATTTCTCTTAAACTTTGATTTAAACCTACAATATTATACACACACTCACACATCTGCATATACGCATCTAAATATATCTGTGTGTGTGTCATTGAAAGAAACATTTCTTGTTTGTAGATTGAGTGTGATATTGGTGAACTGAGAACAGTGATTTTGAATCACATTATTGAACAAAGCAATAACATATTCATATATTCTTCCGTCCTAAAATGAGCTTGATTGTATTTTTTGAATGAATAATTCAATCAGATTTTTAAAGTACAGTTTCAAAAAAATCTGGGCAAGTGCATTGAAGGCATTTAACACATACATTCTTGAAATGGGAATTACTGAGCTAGAGAACTTTGATAAAATAATAATATGTAACACTTCACTCTTTCCATGTTTAATTCATTCTCATGGCAATCCTGTAAATTTTTATATCCTTCATTTGAAGAGAAAGAAACAAGTTCAGAGAGGATAAATGATTTGCCCAAAGTCACATGAGGCAGATGTATAACTGGATGTCAAATTTATAATTAACACCTGGTATTTGGAAAGAAAATATCTATCTGTGGACTGTTGCGTGTTACAAGGATACTACTAAGAGTGCTGCAAGGAAGATCTAAAACCAGTTTTTGATATCAGTTTCACTGGTAAATATTTGCAGTTGTAGCAAGTAAGGAATAACTAAACTTATGGATTATTTTTCTCAGAAGAACAAACATTTTATATTGGTCAGAGATTTTTTAAAAAGAACTGAAAAGGGCATACAAATTCACGTGTCTGCAAGTTATACTTTGAAAACTTAAGGTCATAAACTGTCAGTATAGACACAGGTCAAAAAACAATTCTAGAAATATCTTTCCCACTTTTTACAATAATTTGCCATCTAATGCAAAGTTTTCAAAGCTTGTGTTTGATAGGGCCCTATCCATAGACTTTCTAGATGGCCTATTTTCTATTTTCTGACTGTATTTTAAATTTCTTCCTTGCATACTTCTTCCTCAAAGTGTCTGGTATATTGCCATCTTGTAAATATAGTTTGTTACAACTACAATATGACATTTTTTTCAATATAAGTTAAAAGTGTATAGAAAAAAAAGGATACATTCAAAAATAAGCATCAGGTATTATTTTAAATCAGCTTAATGGGGTGAAAGTGTATTTTTGCCCCTAATAAATAAATACTATTTACCTATTTCTATAGTCCTTTTGCAAAACTGAACTCTCAGGTAAATATATGATACATATTTCATTCCACACTAACAACCTAGGCAGCATGAAATGATACTAATAAACACCCCATGCATGCACCATGACCAAATATCAACTGGTCATCTTATGTACATATTTTAAGATTAAAAAAAGTGACCACATTATGGTCCTGACTTTTGCACTTCATAGTGTTGATATCAAAATTGTGTTTTGCTATTGTTCTTTTGCCAGTGCGCCTACTGCACTTAGAGCTGCCCTATAACACTGTTGGGATATCTGTATTACCTTTGGGTAACATAATAACCATTATTCAAAGTAAAGAAGCATCATCCATTCATTTTTAATGTGATCTAAGTTCAAAATCCATTTCGGAACAAATCTCTCCAATTTATATAAATATATATGTATATTTATATATGACCTATATCCTCTACTTTTCTTTCCATTATAGACACATCTGAACTTAGGCATTATTTAAAGAACATTAACCTCTTTCTGTGTACATTAGCAGATTCTAACAGTATACAAAGATATTTCGGTAATGTAAAACATAAAGTGTACCTTCTAAAGTGCTAATTTTTCCCCAGGGAGGAACTTACTCTCTAGAAAAAATCAAACTCTACCAAAACAAATATTGTGCTCTTAGAATGGTAGCATAGACACCAGTTGAGGGCTTTTTTTGTTTGTTGGTTTATTATAGCTCTGTAATTAAAACAGAAAGAATTACACCATACTTTAAAAATTGGTAGAGTTGCAGATACATAGACATACTGTTAGATACACTTAAAACATTTTGAAATTAAAAGAGATGCTCTCCCCTCCCCTGAAAATAGGAATTTAGCACAGAAGTCCTCACATAATGTGGTTATCAACATTTGATGGTAAATCTACCCTCGACTCATTCTCAACACATTTCTAATCAGGTTTCAAAAGGGTATATCAGCTTCAAAATCTGTATTCTACAAATGCCCCAGGTTAGAGATTAGGACTCTTTATAAGGGCCCTATCTTTTACATTTGGTAAAATATTAAAAGTATTGTCAAACAGACAATTCATCTAGTAGTCCAAAGTATCTTATAAAGATAACTTATGACTAGCAGGTCACCATCATATATAGTAACAACAAGAATATAAAGTCTACACTTAAAAAATTTGATTCATGCGGTGTATCATAGTATATTACATATTTTCTAGTCATGTGTACCATACATTGTGCCTCAAACACAGAAACAAATATGATATTACAACATATATGTGTATACATCATTGTAGCATAACAAACTCAATTCTAATCAAGAAAAAAAATAATTTAGGAACAATAAACTTCACGATAGAAGTGATGATTCTTTTAGGTCTTTCTTCACTTGTTAGGAAAAAAATATGACTTTTTGTAAACATCTTCACAGCTCTCTTTTTCCACTATGTTATTTAAAACTATTATTCAAACAGTAAATATTTAATTGACATGGATAAAGCATGTCTTAACACTAACACTTTCAGACAAAAACAGGCATTTGTTAAAAGAAATGTTTATTATAAATATTTTCTATCTTATATTTTAACTACATTTTCATAAAGAATGTATTTAAAAGTGCTGAATATGGTAGGATAGTCAGCAACGCCAGTGTAAACAGAATGCTTTGTTTTCCACTCTGCAAACTTTTTTTTTTTAATCCCATTTTGTCAAACACTGCAACAGTTAAAATATTTGCATAGGGAATAGATTATAGCCCTTTTAATCATATCTCCTGAATGCTATACAAATTAGAAAATCAAATTCACATAAAAAAATTCTTGAAATGTTTAACTTTATGGAAAAAGAAAATTACGATGCCAACCTTTCAAGTAAAGTAAATTTTAAAAAGAAAACCCCAAAGTTGTTTTTCTTAAAAAAAGTTTAATAAATTAAAAAAATGAGAGGTAGTTAAAAAATGACAAAGGAAACTTATAATTTTAATATCATCCTTAATATAAGGCCAGTATTCTTAGTGGATATAAATATTTTTAAAACTTTCATTTTAGGTTACTCAATATTATACTTATTAAGTTTAAGATTAAAAAAATAGCCTCCAGGGGATATTAATATTCAAATCTAACACTTTGATATAAATATGACACTGTTGTTTGTGTGTGCATGATAGGATACTGTTTCTTTGAATGTCAAAAGTACATGCCAAGGTCAGGCAAGTATTTTTTGTCTTAAAAGATTTAGTGGTACTTATAAAAAAATAATATGGCAGCTAAAACATTTGAGCACTGTTCTGCCTTTCAATTAGGGATGAGAAGTAATAGTTTGGTTTTAACATATTTTAAATAAGTTATTTTTAAGATACTATGTGAAAACAGTTAAGGTCTGAAGTAGAGAATTATCTTCTAAAGAACCCCTATAAAACTTTTCTTCATTAAAAACGTTAGCTTTTACTGGATTTCACTTTCAACGAAAATATGCCACAGTCCAGATGCTATTCATCCAAAGTTTTAAGATGCTACATATAGGCATTCCTTTATTAAATCTTTTCTTTATATTCCAAAACTAAGTTATCAAGCTTTTTTTTTTCTTGCTAAAGTACATACTTTATGCAACCATTTTAGAACTGGAGAGCCAGTCTTTAATAAATTAATTACAGTATTGGACATCTGATATATACATAGATTCATTTTCTTCTATTACAACTAAAAACAATATCACTCTTTGATTTGTCATTGAGATAGAATATCTTCAAATTGTTTTGTGCTTTTTCTTTTTTCCTCATATATTTATATATATTATTTTTTACATAGCAAACTCTTCTGTAATGAAAATGCCACAGTTTTGGCAGTGAACAACCAGAGGAATTCCCCCATGAGGATTTTCCAACAAACAGAGATAAATAGCTCTTTTTTTCATGTACAGAAATATTGGCTTCAAAATTAGTGTACTGAACACAGTATATAGCATGTTGACTATCAGAGTTACAATTTTAAAATTGGCTTTTTCTGTCTTAGATTATATTTAAAAATGCAAACCACAGCCAACTTTTGGGCAATTATTTCTATAAGACCATATTGCACAAAAGTCCTTAAATACAGATCTAAGTTATGCCATTTGGATTTAAGTGTTGCGACAACTATGTGGCAAATGAAGCGGGTTTACTTGGCACATGCAGTCTCTGGGTACACTAGGAGACTTCATAAGACCTCAAGTACAGTTTGCTTGCAAGTAGAATGCGTGTTCAACAAAATAAACTTAATTTGGCAATTCATTGTTTCATGTGGTATTTTCTCCAAAGTAACCACGGATAAACCTTGATAAAAATGGAGACAAAGACCATATGGTTGTATTTTCACAGTAGCCTGAGGAATGCTAAACTGTAGTTCTCCAGGAACTCAGTTTCAGGTGTTACATAATTACTTTTATTTTTCATCACAGCCCTCCAAAATGATTTTCTTTAATAAAAATTAAGATTCAGAAGTAGAGCTGGCAGTACTTTCAACAAATGACTTATAAATTTGAGAGTTCAAAAACCTGGGGAAAGAATCTCTGTGCATTAAGGTATATATCTGGAGTTGGGCATCTTCATACATGTGAGGATTAGGATCCAACAGATTTCTATTGATCACCTCTCTAACTCGAGAATCGAGACTGACCTAAAAAGAAATAAGAGCAGATACATTAAATAATATTTTTTCAAAAGATCTCAATCAAGTAACTATATGCTCATGACATTTCAGAGAAAGCTTAAAGAGTAAATCTAAAAATCATGAGGTTATGTTTTCAAAGGTTTCATAACCCTGCAGACTTTTCTCCTTCAAAAATGGAATTAAACAAAAACCAACTTTTAAAGCAAAATTTGAGCTCAGATATCTTGGCTTACTTGGATGTACCTCTTCTATGCATTCATTCCGGAGTTTTTGACAATTTCTCTCATGTTGCAGTGCTAGAGAGTCCCCTAGCTAGAATACAAAGTTGAGCATGTGTGTGTGTAAGTTGCTCGGATGTGTCCGACTCTTTGTGATGTCCCCCATGGACTGTAGTCCACCAGGCTCCTCTGTCCATAGAATTCTCCAGACAAGAATACTGGAGTGGGTTGCCATTCCCTTCTCCAGGGCACCTTCCTGATCTTCTCCTGGGTTTCCTGAACTGCGGGCAGATTCTTTACAGTCTAAGCCACCTAGGAAGCCCCTAACCAGATTAGAAAGTTACCTCCTCCCATTATGTGACTGCTGGGCTGACTCTCTTCATTGAGCAAGATACAAATCTAGCAGAGAGTAGTTCTCTGTCAAAACAACATGTAAATTACATACCGATGCCTGACAGTTTCACGTCCCAGCAAGTCCTGCCGTGCCAGGAGGACACCGGGGACGTGGAAGGGCTGGGCAGAGCAGAACCAGAGCACATACTCTTCAGGTCTTACGACTATAGACCTGTCCACACACAACACGCTACAGTCCTTCCCTAGGAATACATCCACATGACTGTACTAAAGATTAGAAGAACAATTTCTTGAAACGCCGTCTTTGAAAGGAGAAATGTCAGTAGGAACTCAGAGTACCCATTAAAGGAGCCATACAGTGTTATTTGAAAAGTGTAAAGAAATTTTAAGAAATTAAATTCTGCAAGTGATTCAGGTTTGTTTGTTTGTTTGTTTTCCCTGAATGCTAATCCTGTTGGAACTGGTAGGGTAAGTTGGAAAAGGAATGGGGAGGATTAAATAGCAATAAAGGCATGCCTTGGGGGAACAGAACTTAAGTTCTTTCCTGAAACGAAAGGAAAAAACACCTCTGAGTCTGATTAGTGTCTGACGTCCTCACTGTTGAACAGAGGCTAAGGCATGGTGATCCATAGTTAACCTATTTCATGGTGTACTTCTATACAAACCCTTCCAATTTATAACTAAGGTTTTGTCACAAGCATCTTGCAAATGCTTTTTTGGTTCTGGCTTCATTTTCTACCCATTCTTTGGACTAAGCCTGGGATCTGAGACAGTCCCAATGAGAGAAGCCACTCATATTCTCTCTGGTGTCCCCGGATTCCTAAACTTTATAGCTCATGTGCAGTTGAGTTCATAGTAACACCCCAGGATGACAGCTAGCGGGGGAAGATGTATCAGGAAGTGGTGATCCAGACTAAATTTTTGTGGGTTTGCTAGGCTAAGTTACACAAAGACAAAATTAAACGTTTCTTGGCTGAACTATGTAATATTCTCTATAAATTCTAAGAAAAACAAATGTTCTGGAAATGGATCAAGTTTTATTCTCTGTGTTACTGCCACAAGGATCATCATCAAGTACAAAGTAAAAAAGTACAGAATTTTTAGCTAAACTTCTTATTTAAAAATATTTCTGTCTCTTGCTCAGCAGGAGAATGTTGATACCGAAGCTTAAACTGATAGGTCTTGTTCTGAAATGTGGGATTATGGTAAAGTGAATCTTAACAAACATATTCTACTATTTTTTGCAAATGGTGCTCTTACTTTCAAACTTGCATACTTTTTGTTTCATTGGAGAAAGGAACATTAGATTAGTGATAAAGAGATAAAAGAGGTCTTTATTTAGTAAATAATAGCATATTGAATATATGCTATTTAACACATATGTTCCCTAAACATATATATTTAACATATGATAAACTGACAACAGTTTATCAGTTGCTGGAATGATATTCGTTATCTTAAGACAGAAAGCAAAATAATTTGAATTATTAAATGTGTTGAGTCTTCATTGTATGATTTAAATTTTATTTTCAAACTAAAAACAGTAGTGAAATATCATAGAGAAGGCAGTACCATTCAACATTTAGTAATCTGTAATCAAAGCACATTTGCTATTTCCATTTAAAAAATAAAATATTTACCTTAATATCTGGTGGTTTGTTTGAAAAGGTTGTCTGTCAGTCAAAAGACGTGTAGAGAGGTCAAATAACAAGGATAAAGCCCATGAGTATGACAATCTATAGGTTCATCTTGTGGCATCTTTGGGCTTCGATTGTGGAACATCTATAATACAAATTAGTGCGTGTGGATCCCAGCATGGGCCTGAGCCTAGGCCCCCTAGGATTCATCCCTGAGTAGCGCCATCTCATCTGGAGTCCAGTGCCTAAGGCACCAGCGAGTTTCCTGTACAGACTTATCTTAAGAGAAAAGAAAGTAGCTCTGAGACAACCACTATTCTCAGGTAATGCAAATTCTTCTCTTACTCAAGCTTTTCAGGCTCCCGTTTAGGTGGGTGAAGGAAGCAATGTGTGCTCAGTCGAGCCCCACTCTGCGGGACCCTTTGGACTGCAGGATTTTTCAGGCAAGAATATTGGAGTGGTTTGCCATTTCCTGCTCCAGGGCATCTTCCCGACCCAGGGATCGAACCCATGTCTCCTGCATCTCCTGAACTGCAGACAGATTCTTTACCACTGAGCCACAGGTCAAGGGGGCAAAGCAGGGCTGCAATGCCAGGGTTAAAAGATGATCTGCTCCTGTGGGGCCGGGCACGAGACAGCCCTGATAGACCTGGCAGCCCTGACCCGGCAGTCTTAGCAGTACTGGAGAGGCTGGCAGTGTTGAGAGGTGGTAAGTGGAACTAATGAACTCGGAACCCTCCATTGCCACAGGGAGGAGACAGGGAAGAAGAAAAGCACGTGGCTTACAAACATAAAAATGTCCACCAGCAACTCCATAAACTAGCCGGGAGGAAAATGAAACGACAGCTAAAGGTTCAGCAAGAGTGTGGGGGTAAAATGGGGAGAATGAAAACAGAAATCTTGTTTGTGTGGCTGGGGGAAGCCTGGGTCAAACTGCATTATATATTATGCATGGAGCCAATTCACGAGAAGTAGGTGGATATTGCCAAAAGCCAGCACACCAAGGGCCTGACTTCCCCTTCTCGCCATAAAGATGCAATGAAAGTTTTGTGTCGAATTATACTGAAAATGATGAATTACCACTGAAAGTTTTTCATCCTCATAAAGACCCTCCTAGGTCAACTTAATTCCTTGAACATTTTTTTTCACATACCATGATTTAATTTTCCTCCATTTTTTCATTTTATTTTTAGTTTTACTGAAGCTGCTTTATTTACAATTTTTTCCTAAGTAAAATACTTATTAATTTTTTTCCTTTATAAGTCCATGTTAATTTTTTACCAATTATAGTTTCTGCTACTGGAGATGTTCTTTATAATTTTAACTAACTTTGGTCTTCTCATGTAAAATTTTGTAGATCTGAAGGCTATCTGGTTCTCCTGTCTGTTTTAAAACACTTTTTACCAAGTCCATTTTTTGTTGTATTACTTTGTGTCAGTTATTTCTATGGAAAATAATTATAAATTACAAATAAGACTGATTATTGGGATGCATTTCTCGAAGCAAAGGTCATTGATACCATAAAGTGGAGTAACCATATTCCTGGTGACACTTAAGTGATGGGAAAGTTTATCTTGCTTCTGAGGGACAGTTCAGATATGTGGTTAAGTTGCTAGTCCTCACTGTGTCGTAAGTTTGTGTTCACAGAAGTCCAGAGTTGTGTCATGAATACAATACTAGACAATGGAATGACTAACGAGCATATTGCAGTTGGAAGAGCTGCACTTGGAATCAGAAGATCTTGGGTTTGTGTTCTCTCTCTACCAGATAAAAATTTACTGTCCTTGCTTCACTTCTTCGAATCAGTTGGTTTTGCTATCAAATGGTGCCATCTGTCCTAGAGGCTAAAGGATTATTGTGAGACTTATATTGTAATAATATCCATAAGAGCATTTTATCAACAACAAAGTTTAAGCCCGACGTAAGGTAATAATAGTACTATTACTACTAATTGATCATACGTATAACAACACCTTTTTGGTCAAACCCAATGCCTTTAGACTTCGTATCAGCTTGAATTTTACCTTCTCAGAGTGACCTTACTGGATTAACCTTATTCTAATGACATCACTTGACCTCCACGCCATCATAATGTTTATCACGATTTTTAATTACCTGTCTTTGACATGATTTGTCTGTCTTCCTAAAATGAAAGCTCCAGAAGGCTCGCCATCATATCCCTAACATCTAGGCCAGTACCTGGCTCACAGGAAGTACTCAATGCATATTTTTGAAAGATAATATGCATGCACAAAGAAAACTAGGAAGATATAATCAAATGAGCCCTGTTAGGAAAAACTGATTTAAATATCAAAACTGTTAAATTCACAAAATTTTGTGTGAAGAGGCATCTGTCTGTGTGCACACATGGGACCATATGTCTATCACATATACAATATTTTTAGATAATTTTGGTTTTTAAATAGGCTTTTTGCTTCCTCCTCCTAGATAGCAACTATTAATAGAAGGCGTTTAGGTGAAATCAGAAGAAAACAGTTCCTACTACTATATAAACTGTCATTCAGCAGAGCCTGAAAGTCATAGATTGAGTGGGTTTGAGAGCTTTTCCCATGCCATCATTCCATAAAACGAGGAAGCTGAGGCCACAGAACACTGAAGTGAGTTGGTTAGTGTTCGACGGTTAAGTGGCAGGCCTAGGTTACAGCCATGGTTAAGGATAGCAGCATCGCTGGATATCCGAACACACATAGTTTTCTGTAACTCTGATAAGTCTTACAGTTGTTGCAGGATTTACAATTATCTCTTTGTTCAATAGCTCAATGCTGCTTAAATTGGTTACAACTTTTAATCAGACTGTTTTATTAAAGTTATTCTGCTGAGCTTATCTTTTCAATACTTAATATAAGCTGCCACTGGCAACTGCAATGCTTAGCAAGGCTACTATTCATCTTCAGTTCCTCGCTATTACTTCCATTTGAGGTACCTTTGAGGACCTCACATAAAAAGAAAACTTACTTTTGAAAGAAAAGACATTTTTTTGTTTTTAGATTTTTTTTAAACTTAAAATGTGGTCATTTCCCCTCTTGAAATGGATGCTACACCAAGAATGAGAGATTTATTGATTCCTGATTGTCAACATTTGTCTTATAACATAATGTTTAAGTTGTTAAAAATGCATTTAACATAATCTTAAAACAACAAAATGTAATTTTCAGCACACTGGCTTCATGAAGGAAATATGCTATGTTGATAACATTTTAAGAATGGAGACCTCCTCTACATTTAATAGGCTTTCCTGAAGACTCTTGAGAGTCCCTTGGACTGCAAGGAGATTCAACCAGTTCATCCTAAAGGAGGTCAGTCCTGAGCGTTCATTGGAAGGACTGATGTTGAAGCTGAAACCAATACTTTGGCCACCTGATGTGAAGAACTGACTCATTGGAAAAGACCCTGATGCTGGGAAAGATTGAAGGCGGGAGGAGAAGGGGATGACAGAGGATGAGATGGTTGGATGGCATCACCAACTCAATGGAGATGAGTTTGGTTAAACTCCAGGAGTTGGCGATGGACAGGGAGGCCTGGTGTGCTGCTGTCCATGGGGTCGCAAAGAGTCAGACACGACTGAACACGACTGATGGCTCAATCGGTAAAGAAACGTTGGCAGTGCTGGAGACCCAGGTTCTATCCCTGGGTTGAGAAGATCCCTTGGAGAAGGAAATGGCAATGCACTCTCATAATCCTGCCTGAAAAATCCCATCAACAGAAAGGCCTGGCAGGTTACAGTCCATGGGGTTGAAAAGAGTTGGATATGACCGAGCAGCTAACACTTTTCTACATTTAACAAAGGAGAACATGATGACCCAATCAAATGACAGTAAAATGAAAGTCTGGTGACGAAAACTGAGGTTCTGGTTAAGAATAAAGTCCTGACAACTTGCAGCTATTTAGTTACTGCCATTTTACAAATGATTCAAATGTTCACGTTCTTTAAAAATATTCTAAGTAGAAACCGTTATAGAGTTTCAGAGGTAGAAAGGCCTGATTATCTAGCTCCAAAGAAGGAAACAGATTCCCAACTCCATCTGGTTCACAGTGGCTATTGTGCGGATTGAGTTAAAGGAGATTCTGAGGTTGAATCTGGGTGCAACAGGGAGGACCATGGTATGCATGGGTTAGTCTCACAGTCGTGTCTGACTCTTTGTGACCCCATGGACTGTAGTCCACCAGGCTCCTCTGTCCATGGGGTTTCCCAGGCAAGAATACTGGAGTGGGCTGCCATTTCCTTCTCCAGGGGATCTTCCTGACCTAGAGATTGAACCTGGGTCTCCTGAATTGCAGGCAGATTCGTTACCACCTGAGGCACCAGGGGCGCTCCAGATGATGAGTAACTGACCATGTCATTTGCTGGGAGAATGCAGTGGTCCCATAAGCGCCTTAACAGCTGTCATTCTGGACTTGGTTCACTATCCTCTGTGTCCCTTTATGCTTTAATTTTTGTAAACAAATCAGCTGAATACAGAGGCCCACATAAAAGTGAATTAATTTATCCCAGGCCACGCAATGAAGTTGGACCTGAGTCAGGACTAGAACCCTCTCCACCTGAGTGTTAATTTAGTGTTTTCACTACTGTATAGTCAGGGATTTCTGAAGTTGAAATCAATATGCTAGTAAAATTCAAGTAGATCTGATCAGATGCTGAGGTTCTAAAGAGACCAGAAACCTGGAGAATGTATTTTTTAGGATGCAGAATTTTAATGGTGTTAGAAATACAAAGTAATACATGTATTGAGGCTATAGAAAAAATTATCCCCATCTTGTTTCTATGAATACCTTTTTTTATGTTAATGCAGGAAAAAAAAATAAGACAACCTTTTGGGTGTCCAATCCAAGGTTTCTCATTTTTCAGAGACAATACTAGGGTACTCTGGAATACCAATGGCACTTACAGAATGACTGATACATTAAAAAAAAAATTACCTAGGTATACTTGTTGGGAAGGGAAATGGCTTATATAGCATTCCAAATACAGAGTCAATAGAGTAGACACAGTAAAAGTGAAGGTCGCTCAGTCATGTCCGACTCTTTGCGACCCTATGGACTGTACAGTCCATGGAATTCTCCAGGCCAGAATACTGCAGTGGGTAGCCTTTCCCTTCTCCAGGGGATCTTCCCAACCCAGGGACTGAACCGGGGTCTCCTGCATTGCAGGCAGATTCTTTACCAGCTGAGCTACAGATTCCAAGGCAAGGAGTGTGAGACAGGTTGGGGCCACGTCCAGTGTGGTAGCAGGTAGATGCACGTGGCCTCTTTCCAGGGAACGTAATAAATGTCTGTGTGCAGGAGACAGGAGTGAAGGATAGGGTCTGGGGGCAGAAAGTACCAGGTCAGAACGTTTACATGGACAGGTGAGATCACCGTGGATTAATAGAGACAGAAAAGACAAGAAGAGGGTGACGTGCAGAAGAGAGAGCATTCCAGGAAACTCTAAATTCGCGTTCTTAAAAGCCCTGGTGGAACTCACTTACTCAGCACTTCAGAGGCTGGGCAACTATGAGCCGCTCCCCCTCCAAGTGCTTGTAACTCTGGGAGCTGGACCCTTTCTCAGCAAGTTGATTTTTTAAGTCAAGGGAAAGGTATTAAACTGGTTGCTTGAAATATTCCTTATTTATTGGGAACATTCTGGCAATGGGAAGAAGAGCTTGCACTTAACAGTAACAGGAAAACTAGAACAAGGTAAATGATTGCCATTACACATCTCTCCCCCAAGAAGAGCATCAGTCACTCAGTCTTGTCTGACTCTTTTCAACCCCGTGGACTATAGCCCGCCAGGCCTCTTTGCCCATGGGATTTGCCAGGCAAGAATACTGGAGTGGGTTGCCATTTCCTCCTCCAGGGGATCTCCTTGACCCAGCGATCGACCCTGCGTTTCCTATGTCTCCTGAATTGCAGGAGGATTCTTTACTGCTGGGCCACCAGGGAAGCCCAGTGGGTTATAAAGGGTCATTTTTCAGTTCTATAAAAATTCTAATATAAGCATCTCATACAAGCATCAACATCACCATGCTTTTTTGAAGCATCAACATTCCCCTCCCTCCCCAAACCAGAGGTTTTCAAACCAGTAGGTATGTGGGAAACTGATTAAAGGTACAGATTTCTGGGCTCTATTTTCCAAAATTCAGGTTCAGAAGTTCTGAGTCGGCCTGGAGAACTTACTTTTCAAACAAATGCTCTAGGAGATTCTCAGACAGGTGATCTGAGGGCCACACTTTGAGACACATTGCCCCAACGTAAGTTCTTTTTCATTTTAGTTGAACTCTTGGCCAATTGTATTTACCAGGCTTCCTAAGGTTAGTTCTGAAAAGCAAGTAGACTCTCACAGGAGTCAGCCAGAGATAAACGATCAAAGCACAGTGGGGAAACCTAACCTTGAAACACTGGCTCAGGTAGATTCTTAGAATGGAATCTGGATTATCTACCCAGATAAATCTTCTAGCCTCTCCACACCCAATGCATTACTCAATTCGGACAGAGGTCCTTTTAGGTTCATCCTTGGTCTTAAGAAGCCCACATCAATCCTTTCCAGATTTTTACCTCTTTTGGTGAGAGTATAGAAATGTAATCGTCATATATCATCCTGGCCTTCTCTTCAATTACTTTTTTGTTCTGCTCTTTCTTTAAGTCTTCACAGGCAAGCCAGAAAAGTAGGTTCTCTTCACTGTATTCCGTTCGCAGGAACTCCCTGAAGAGGTTTCTTCCTGCCGGGGCCTTCATCATCTTGTCAAAATTTTGAGACCAGGACAAGACTTCATCTGAAGTGGGGTTTTGGCTGCAGAGACAGAAGGGGGCCATTGTCAAAAGCAACTTCGGTGCAGGGATGAGAGGTCGATAGAAATGCTGCCATCTAGTGGTCATGTAGACTCGGTCCAGCCTGACCTGGCAAACATCTGCCAGGACAGGGCTAGTTATTTCTGCGTCACGACAAAAATTCTTGTAGGTATAAGCTATGTGTCTGGGAGCCAGGCATTCAAATAGCAAGGCGTGATACACACTTTGCACATGGTCATCATCAGTTCAGTTCAGTCGCTCAGTCGTGACTGACTGTGACCCCAAGGACTGCAGCACGCCTGGCTTCCCTGTCCATCACCAACTCCCAGAACTTGCTCAAACTCATGTCCATCGAGTCAGTGATGCCATCCAACCATCTCATCCTCTGTCATCCCCTTCTCCTCTTGCCCTCAATCCTTCCCAGCATCAGGGTCTTTTCCAATGAGTCAGTTCTTCCCGTCAGGTGGCCCAAGTATTGGAGCTTCAGCTTCAGCATCAGTCTTTCCAATAAATACTCAGGACTGATTTCCTTTAGAATGGTCATCAAAGATTCCTAATGAAGCTTGGACATTTTTGAACTGTCACAATCTACTGCAAATCTATTACATTACTTTGAAAGGCAAACTGAACTTTTTTGTTTGCATCTGATGTAGATTTTAGTTTCCAGGCCATAAGATACAGTTTCTCTTTTCATCTGTAGTCACTACATTTTCACTTTTCACTGAATCAAAAATAAGAACACATTGTGTGCCCTTTCACATATTTACCTAAACTTTAAGAATTATTCTGGTAAACATTGTGAGTGAATTGTTACCACTGAATGGAGTTCCCACAGCTTTTGAACTGTGGTTTGGAGAAGACTTTTGAGAGTCCCTTGGACAACAAGGAGATCCAACCAGTCAATGCTAAAGGAAATCAGTCCTGAATACTCATTGGAAGGACTGATGCTGAAGCTGAAACTCCAATACTTTGGCCACCTGATGCGAAGAGCTGACTCATTAGACAAGACCCTGATGCTGGGAAAGGTTGAGGTCAGGAGAAGGGGACGACAGAGGATGAGATGGTTGGATGGCATTATCAAGTCAATGGACATGAGTCTGAGCAAGCTCCAGGAGATGGTGATGGTCAGGCAGGCCTGGCGTGCTACATGGGGTCCGCAAAAAGTCACACATGACTGAGTGACTGAACAAAAGCAATGACAATTAAAAAGCATAGACCATTTACAATGACACCAGGGACTTTTTAGGTATCTGTATTCAGGTTTTTTAGCAACTATTTCCCTGCAGAACCTCATTTGCCTATACATCAAAAAAGTAAAGGAGAGAAGCAAGGAGAATTTTATGGCTAAATTGATCCTGATTTTGCTTTCCTATGCATTGGTATGTTTAATAATTTTCCAACCTAAAATACATTTGGTCAAAAAAGTAGTCACATTTATTTTTTCCTTACCTTTTGTACCCAATATTTTAAGTTGGTTTGCTATTATTCCAAGATGTCTGAACTTCCTCATTTGTTTAAAAAAATTTTAAAAGACAGAAAAATCACTATGAAGCTTCAGCATTAAAACCTTCTCCTGAGCAGCAGAAAAAGAAAGCACCTATCATTATATAAATAATCTACTTGCATTTTAATTCTATTCTGTAGATGCTGCATTTCAACTTCTCATTTTGGAGAAAATACTTGGTTAGAGTCTGTTCCAATGGAAACGGGACCAAGGACCATCCAGGTGCCTTTTTTGACTTAGGTAATTTCATATATCATTTTTGTTTTAGACTCTACACCTATAAAGAGAATGACTTAAAAAATTCTTAGAAAAGGGAACTAAAGAATTAGGGCAATTTGCAGGGGTGGGGGGTGGTTAATTCATGTATCAATCATTATTTTTGGAAAGAGAAGGATAAACTCAAGCAATGTTTTAGCCAATAGTTGAACAGAGCTAATAGAAAGTGATAAAAAGGAGTTGCAATAGCAAAATAAGATCTCCCAGACGGAGTGAGCATTCATTTCCCAAAACTGTTTTGAGAAGTACCGGGAAGCAAGAGACGATGATTAAGCCCTGGGCAGAGGTAAACAGTACAGACACACGAGACACAATTACAGCACAACTCACTCACCATTCCTCTAGGACCTGGATACTCTCCATCTTTGTGGTATGCGTGGGTCTTCCTGCATTTTCCCCTCTTTCTTCATTCCTAACAGTGAGGCTGTAATGTAGTATAACACTTTATTTTGTCAAGGGAAAACCAATTATTTAAAGAAAAGAAAAAAAATGTTCTAGGAAAACACTTCATGGAAGAATTTTATTGTCAACTATGTGAGCGTATTCAGGGTACAAAAGGAACAGCACTATTTTTAAATGACAGCTAAGCACACATCAATGAAGGGAAAGAGAATTATCATTTAATAAAGCAAACCACAATCTCAAGAATGGGTGCTGTTACACCTTCTGACTTCATCCTTGCAAAATCTGAATTACTTAAAAGCTTTGCGACACCCTATGTGATTATATGCTTCAAAATTTGATAAATATCATTACATTACTCTTTGGAGTAATGCTATTTTGACTTGTGGTTAGTTCTAGTCTTGGTTTGATTTCAGCTGATTCTCCCCCCTTGATAGCTCTGCAGACCAGGCTTTCTGTGATTCTTCCCATCATTCCTCCACCCACTCAAGTTTGAGTGACAGCATTTGTATTTGACTTTTTCTTTGCCCTTTCATCTCTTCAAGTAAAGCTACAATAATCCTAGAGGAAAAGCTGGTTACTCTGAGGGTCTGAAAAGGAGAGCATTGGGTGGGAGGCCTTTCTGTGTCTCTGGGACATAAATTTGGGAATTCTATAGGATGATAGGAACTAGGTTATTGATATTTTCTCCCAGAAATCTTGATTCCAACTTGTGCTTCATCCAGCCCGACATTTCGCATGATGTACTCTGCATATACGTTAAATAAGCAGGGTGACAATATATAGCCTTGATGTACTCCTTTCCCAATTTGGAACCAGTCCATTGTGCTGTGTCCAGTTCTAACTGTTGCTTCCTGACCTACATACAGATTTCTCAGGAGGCAGGTAAGGTGGTCTGGCATTCCCATCTCTTAAAGAATTTTCCAGAATTTGTTGTGATCCACACAGTCAACTGAGTGACTGAACTGAACTGGTAGAAACTAGGATAATCCCAGGGGCTTTCCTAACCCAGAACAAGAATAAGAATTCTCTGATTCAGGTAAATGAGCCAAGTAGCGCGGTGGCTCCAGGTGCAGACAACGTGATGGGGAGGTTATGGGCAAACAGGAAGAAGCAGGGTGGAGAGAATAACTTAGTGGCCTTGGAAAAGTCAAGCTACTGAATCAGCCCACTGATCCCCTCCGTCTAGAAGCCAAGAAGCTTCTCAGGAGCCTGTCAGAGAGCAAAGGAAGCTGGGATGACACCTCGTCCAGTCGTTCAGCCATTACTTATTCAATATGGGGAAAGAGAAACCATTATTTTCTAGTGCTTATTATGTGCCAGGCACCGTCTTTTTACCTTTAATTTTACTCTCCCCATTTTATAGGTGATCAACAAGAGGCACAGAGTTGTCTGTTAGTCGCTCTGTAGTCTCCGATTCTTTGTGACCCCATGGACTGTAGCCAGCCAGGCTCCTCTGTCCATGGGATTCTCTAGGCAAGAATACTGGAGTGGGTTGCCATTCCCTTCTCCAGGGGATCTTCCTGACTCAGGGAACGAAGCTGGGTCTCCTGCATTGCAGGCAAGCTCTTAGCCACCAGTGAAGTCCAGCTGGCCCAAAGGCAGGCACTAAATAGGCAGTATGATTGGAATTTGAACCCAATTCTCCTAAACAACCCTATAACTGTTATTGAGTACCTGTATCTGTTATTATGAATCATGCTCTCTGATAGACACTACGGCAATAGACTACTTATGTGAATGTAGAAAAGTGTCACTAAATACGGTTGTAGCTTAGTGCACAAAGGCTTCCAGTAATTAGCTGTTGTTCATCTGGAACATCTGGGAAAGGAAATTGAGACAATGTCTCATTAATTCATTCTCAGCTGCCAGGGTGAGGATGGGAGAAGGTAGCAAAGATTTGAAGGCAAAGGAGTCAATCTACAACTGAAAGTGAGACTAGATGGAAAATTGAGTCAGAGAGAACTTTCAATATCCTGAGATAAATGATAATGGAAAAGAATATAAAAAAGAATGTATATGTGTATATGTGCAAAAGAATGAACTTGCGTGCATGATCAGTCACTCAGTCGTGTCCAGCTCTTTGCGACCTCATGGACTGTAGCCCGCCAGTCTCCTCTATCCATGGAGTTCTCCAGGCAAGAATACTGGAGTGGGTTGCCATTTCCTTTTCCAGGGGATCTTCCTGACCTAGGGATCGAATCCATGTCTCCTACGTCTGTGTGTGTGTGTGTGTGTGTGTGTGTGTGTGTGTATGTATATACATAAATCACTTTGCTCTATAGCAAAAATCAGCACAACATTGTGAATCAAATACAATTAAAAAATGTAATCCTCAAAAAAAAAAAAAAGTGGACGATCTGGAGAAAAGAGAAACCTATAGGAATTAGAAAGGACACTCAGAAAAAGGACACCTCAATGAAAACAGTCATAAATAAATTCAGTTCTTCTCTATCAACTTCTAGGGAAAGTGGCAGATTTTACTGGTGTAGAAAACCTCCTACAAAGGTAGTGTGGCCCAAGGAATTCTAGCCGATTGTCACTCAAACGTCCAGAAAACTGAGGCATGCCATGCAGGGAGGCAGCAATTCTTGACAGCTCTCAGCCTTCAATGTAGGGGAGCCCGAGGAAGTGGTGAGGTGGGATTCAGAGAGCCCCCCAGTTGGTTGGGGGCTGCCTGTGGGGGCTGTGAACAGGACTGCAGGTCAGGAATGTGTTGGAGGAGAGAGTCATTCACTTCTCCAAGTGTCTTTGAGGAACAGTGCCTCTCTGGAATTTGACATATTTCCAGTAATGATGGGAAAGTGGGTGGGGGAGGTAGGAATACACCATCGATAATATTACGTGGAATTTCCTGGGAGAAGCTAATGATGGGAAATGCATAAAATATGCAATTTAGGGTGAAAGTGAAAGTCGCTGTTGTGTCTGACTCTTTGCAACCCCATGGACTTCACAGTTCATGGAATTCTCCAGGCCGGAATACTAGAGTGTGTAGCCTTTCCCTTCATCAGGGGATCTTCCCAACCCAGGGATAGAACCCAGGTCTCCCGCCATTGCAGGGGGTTTCTTTACCAGCTGAGCCACAAGGGGAGCCCACAACTTAGGAGGTAAATTCTAAATAGAAGGATCACATTTAAATAGAAAATTAGTACACATTCTGCCAAGCTTCACCGAGCTCTTAAGTATGTGTGCACACATGGGGGGGGAGGGGGGACTATAAAAATATTAGGACATGAGGTTGCTTTGCTGATTAAATAGTAAACCCCTTAAGAAGTTATTTTGGTTACATTTCCACACTGTGTCCTATGGAGTGTGCTACACTGATGCAGATATCCTTAATTTCCACAACATCTGTGAAAAAAAAATGTGTTCTCCATTGTGTCTCTGCTGGAGAGCAAAAAATCTGGACTCCACACACGATTCACAAGTTTCTGAACATGAATTCTGGCTCCTGTGTCTGTTTCTGTGATATTTACAAACCTCCCAAATGCCAGCATATTAAAGTGATCATTATGAAATATTGGGCGGTGTGTGTATCTTTTATTTCCACAGATGGTAAAATATGGACACACATTTGTACTAAAACTACTTATAACAGACATTCCGTAAATGCCTAACTGTTCACCATTTGCTCCATATCTTTTTTTCATTTTTATTTTAGTTTTGGCTGTGTCGGATCTTAGTTGCAGCAAATGGGATCTTCTGTTGCGGCCCTTGGGTTTAGATCCCTGGCATGTGGGATCCTAGTTCCCTGACCAGGGATCAAACCTGTGTCTTCTGCATTGCAAGGCATATTTCTAACCCTGGACCAGGAGGGAAGCCCCTTGCTCCATTTCTTGATCTTGTATTGGATACAACATAGCCCTGCAGAAAGAAATTGACTTTTAGCAATCAACGTGTCCTTTTTAATCAACTGCCTTTTAGGACCCTTCTCTAAAAACTGGTTTCAAAGTTTCAATTATCAAGAACTACTGATAATGCCATTTTAAAAGATGAACAGAAATGGAGAAAATGGCAGAAGACTTGGTACTAGACTGTTTTCCATCTATGTCTTAGACATGTCTGTCCCAAATTTCACTAGGTCCTACTCTAAGTAATAAAATCAGTGTTTTTTTTATTAAGGTAATAAAATACAGGACATATTTGCTCTGAATCAACATATGCGTATAATACGTGCTTAAAAAAGCTCTAAAAAGAAAAAAAAAAAAACAGTCATGAGGGGTCACATGGAGACAAGTTCTTTTTCACTTTTACACTGCTCCTAACATTTTAAACTAACATTTCCACTTTTTAAAACAACTTAAAGCCATTGAAGAGAACAGAATGCATAAACGATGCTCACCCTGGGAGTCTTGATCAAAGCTTAAATATTTTATGGGAGAAAATGCCAACAGTCTATGCTAAGCATATTAAAATAAGCATATAAAATCCGGTTAAGAGATTATTTTCAAACAGTGACTTTAGGAAGAGAAATACATTTGGTATATTTTAGAAAATAAGGAAATATGTCCTTTTTATGTGTAGGTGGATTTTTTGTTTGTTTACAGAGGCGTTTGGATAGTGGGGTGGGGAAAATATTACATCCTGCCCTTGATCCAGTTTACCTACTTGTTCTTCATCACAGCTATGTGTGGGGCCTATTTTGGAAGAGGATCTACTTTTTTTTTTTTTAAAGAAAAACAACTGGTTCTTAGGGAGAATCCTTGAAATGGTTGTAAAGAAGATGAAAACTTTATAGTAGCCCTGTTAACTCTGAGATAAAGGCTGACGACAAAACCACATACGTCTTTATACAAACCATCCACTGAGGAATTGATCAGATGTTTCAACTTTATACAGTATGACATCAAGTCTCAAGAAAGAATCAGTCATTGGTAAAAGGAGCTCGTTATCTTGACTTTCTTACACTGTGCTATCAGCTTTTTCTTTATGTGTAACACTTCTACCTGAAATTTCCTAGTGCAAAAAGGGAATCAACTTCCTTCAGGTTCTGGAAAAGAATTGGTAAGTTATTCTTTAAAC